GGACCGCCACAGTTGCTGTGCTATTTTCCCTATGGGGAGAAGTAACCATCTTTTTTCCGCCGACGAGCTGGTTTTCCAGGCCTGAAGACCAGGAGCAAACTCCTGATTAGGAGCTTCGATAATTTCTTTCAATTCCGAGTCTTGTGATCCTAAAGGAGCCACATTGTTATCTTCGAACTCTTTCTCCTCATCCAACATGGGGATATTGTCATTCACAGTTGGGAGGGAAGCGGTCATCTTGCTCAAGTTTTCCATGTCTGCGAAAGAATTGAGACTGCCCAGTGAAGAGAGAACAACTATGTATACTAGGTAAGTCAGAATGACTAGTTTAACTATGGGTCGTTTTACGATACAGTTTTCACATTCGCAACTCTAACATGACCGTTGATTCCCGGATAGACTTTTACGACGCGATCGAGTTTCCACGAAGTGCGAGATAGTTGTTCATGTCGAAGAACTACTAAATCATCCGTTTGAATATTACTTTGCGGGAATTTCCACTGATAGCGATGGTGGAGGCCCTTTAAATATTCATATTTTCAGCGAAAGCAGAATTGTTGAGAGAGCGCTCTCAATTTTCGATACCGGTTCACGATATCCAAAGGAGATTCGTTTATGATGGGTTATGGAGGAGCAAGGATTGGCGACACGACAAGAAAATGTCTAGGCGTAAGGGCTACTCTATCATCAAGACTATCATTCATCGGACAAAGATGACAAGAATTTAAACAAGCTTCAATTCTAGTTAACATTTTTGAAAACTCTTCAAACGTAAACTTAACATTTTTAGCCATTTTTCGAAAGAGAGTTTTGAAGCTTTTGACAGCAGCTTCGCAGAGTCCACCATATGTGGATCTCCGGCTGGATAAAACTTCCATGCATGTTCTTGATATTGAAACTCGATCTAACTCTCGAGATGCACCAACGAAATTGGTACCATTATCCGAGAAGATAGTCTTGGGATATCCACGGCGTGACATAAACCTGTAAAAGACTGCTAAAAATGCCGTGGATAAATGGTTATAAATGAATTGCTTTCGTAGAAAAACACACAAAAACGCAATCATAATCTTTTGTAATTTTGCAATATCTACCTGTAAAAGATTCGATATGAAATGGTCCAATGCGAAACATTAATTGGTTTCCTCCGTGCATTAACTTTATGTGAATCTGTTCCAACAAAAGTTTTTCGAACCTACTATGGTATGGTAACAAAATTGGATGACGTTTAGAAGTGGAAAGAGTTGAACATTGTGAAAGGCGTCCATTTAAGCGCATTACCCCTGTTTCATCCAGAAATGGATTTAAGGATAAGATTGAACTCTTCGAATTGAGTGACGTTTTATGTAGTAACGCAAAGTATTCCTCAGCATAAAATGATTTTGACCTAAAGCAGCCAGACGGAATTTGACTGCTTGGATTTTAGAATTAGTGGGGTTGGAACCTTCAAACTGGTATTTGCCTCGATGAGCAGATTATTATAGAAAATCTTAGAATGCATGCAATGGCGCGGAACGCCGTATCTATGGAAGAAAATCTATTTTAGATATCTTCATAGTTTTGAATGAAAGTTACATGACTTTTAGTTGGGCGAAGTTCGACAACAGTATCAAGCGAAACGTTTTGAGTATTCCAATTTGAACTATCAAGACTCAGCCATTTTGGCCCATGCCACCAAATTTGTGATGAAGCCAACCACGAAGGAGAAAGCCTCCGACTGCCTAAGTCTGCAGGATTGTCCTCAGAACAAACGTGGAACCACTTATTTTGCCCAACATTCTCCTGAATACGACATACGCTATTTGCTACGAAAGAAGACCATGTTGATGGCGTTTTTTGAAACCAAGAAGGATCTGTCCGGCAATAAATTTTGTTAAAAGAAATATCAATCTCATTTAGAATGCCTTTTAGAAGTTCGGATGCCAGTACTGCACCGCATAATTCTTTTTGATGTCACTACACACACGAAAAGCTAGAACCTGAGCGTCGTAAAGATGATCTGAAGGAAGTGGTTGTAAAATACTGCGATCATTGGCTGTCCATTTACGTAATTCAAATTTTGCGGAAGATAGAGCACTAATTAGTTGGTCTCTAGATTTGTACGCTGTTTCCAAATCGTGATAGCCGGTTAAGACGTCAACAACGTATATGCACTTCCGAAGGATATGTGCACTTAATGGAAATTAATTTTCTGTGTCATCGGACAATTGTAGTAAAGTCCGAATGGCAAGATAAAGAGCACAATTTACTCCGAATGTTTGTTTGAAGTTCAAAATCTTGAACCGGCTTGTAGGGAGAATCCCGAAAACAATTCTTTGGAGAGGTACATTTGTGTTATGTCGCAGTTAAAAACAAATCTAAAAAGCCTCTATCTTAGAATAAGGAGGACTAAATCCAACTGAAGTGTTGGGCCGACATAAAGAATATTATTTAGACTATTCCCATTAGAAGTCTTGTTCGAGACATCGAAAACTATTAACATCCGGATGGTGAGGAAGGTAGCAAACCGTAGAGTTTGCTGACGAAGTCGAAACCAGTCTCATGTGGTCTTATTCTAAATATTCCCGGACCGTTAATGTCTTTAATTTGTGGTTTTCTAATTAGGGAAGCCTCGTTACGGAAAATTGAAGTAAAGAGTTTGTCCTGGTATGACCAAGCTGACCTGAGAGTTATGGTACAATGGCAAGTTTGACAATATATCTGCCGACACGCTGTATTTTTGTAACTTTTCTCACAAAACTTGTCCGAAGGAGTCAGATTTGCACGCTGTGGAGGTTCTTCCGATTCCTAGAAGAAAGAAGAAGTGTCTTGTTATGACTACGTTCGGAATAATTTATTGTGGTAGTTAATACCGTTATGTTGGAAGAGGGAATTGGACCAGTAATGATCCAGCCAAAACAGTATTTTAAGCCATTATAGGACTTAAAATGTTGGATTGAATTCCTCGAAGAAGAATTCTAGGATATAAATCAGCGAATAGGAGTACAGCAACTCAACTAGACTGGACTATGGGAAATTAAGTCAGCACCAAGCGAAAAAGATTGTAAATTACCAGAAATAGAGGGAACCACTAATGTTGACAATTCCATTAATATTGATTCCATTAATATATTATGTACCTATGTATAACGAACACAATTTGATTGATGTAGTGGACAAGGTTTGGTTAATGCCAGAAATAGTAGCTTGTGTCGACGTAGTAGAAATACCAAGATGACGTTGTACGTTTTCAGTAATAAAGGAAGCTTTAGAAGCTGGGTCAATTAAGGCGCGAGCAGGGTATGTTATAACTTGATGAATTAAATGAACCATTGCTGCACCTAAAATAACATCTTTGTTGTGCGAAATGTAATAAACTTGCCTATTGGCTGAGTGCGATACACCTGAGGAAGTCGAGGGAAGATTTGAATTTTCATTGCTAGATTGGAAGAATGTTGGTTTGAAATCGATCTCGAGAAAGTCGTTGATGGAACTGCAGGTTTGGACATCGCACGATGTAAAAGGGTGTGATGCCGCTTGTTGCATTTACCGCAGTTATGTTTACTTACATATTTTTACAACTCATAACCAATCGTAAGACATTAAATACAACAATTGAACCGTTTGAGTACTGAAAATCCACAAGCGCAAAGAATGAGCAAATTTTGGGAAAAGAACGCACACTCTAACTGAAGGATCATGAGAAGAATTAATAGAAGGAGCTGTCTTCGAAAAATGAGCTCGCACCTTCTTTTTAGATTTTCTAGAGGAATCCATGCCACGAATATCTCGGAGCCAAGTAAGGGTTTGAATCCGTTCCGTAAGGAAATGATCCAAATCCTTCCAAGATGGCAATGCCGATTTGTTTTTGACCGTCTGTTCCCACAATGAGACGGTGTCTTTAGGTTATCTTTGTATGCATAAAAAGACTAATATGGGATCCCAATCGCTCGCAGAAACGTCGTAGATCGCCATAGCCGATAAGCATCCATTGATTGCTCGCTGAAAATTTTTTAAACCCGTAGATGACTCATTGTCAAGAAGCGGAAGACCAAAAAGTAATTTTAGTTGTTTGTTAACTAATATGCGGACATTGCCATATGCCTCCTTCAATGCTTGCCACGCTAAATCGAAACTTCTATGTGTCAAAGGGAACTTTGATATTACATCTTTTGCTTCACCACATGTTTTTTTCAGCAAGTAACATAGTTTTTCAATGTTACTAAGGCGGCTGTTGTTGATATAAACCGCAGAAAAGAGATCTCTGAATGTAGGTCAAGGAAGAAAATCACCATTAAAAACATCAATATCGCAAGCTGGAAGATTTAAACTATGCATAACACTGTCATTTCACTTAATCCCAAAGCGACTTATCTTCAGAAGATTGAACTTCAAAAATGTAAATATCAAAATCTTCATCTCGAAGAGCATTGAAGCTGTTTTCGAATTGTATGATAGCATAAGTTGATCTGATAAAATAATCAAGTGTAGAAAGTGACATCTTAAATAATAAAAAAAAGTTTATCGCAAAAAAATCTGTACATTTTTGATTTTTTCTTAAAATTATGACCAAATGTAGGGTGCACGGAATGTAAAATGCACGCTACAAATCAAAATCGCAATCAACAGTAAATACAAAATGGAAATAAATATTTAAAATATTAAAAAAATTGAAAAAAAAAAAAACGTTATAATATAATAACGAATATTATTATAATTATATGCAAAACGAATGAATGTAAGCAGTATTTAATAACGAAACAACTTATTTCCCACAGAATCATTTGAACTTTAAAAAAAATTTAAAAAAATTTGTACGAAAGTACTTTTTTAATGTTTTGGTCTGAACAGACCTATTAAACATTTTTCACTTTTTGTAATGAACACACCTATTACAAGTCAGTCAACCACAAGCATACAGCACTGATATGTGATCGTATTGTTATTGTTGTATTAACCACTAGTATGTTGTTATTGTTATTTTAATCCTCTTTTTTGTGTTAATAAACACAAAAGCAGCAATCACAACAACAGCATGTTTATATCAAAGCTTTTTTTCGGATAAACCCTTATTATCAAGATATATTTGCTTAATCTGGATTTATTCAACAAGATTTGTCACACAAATTTGTTTAAATTTCTTTCATTTGTGTCAAAGGTTAGTATGCATAACCAAAAGAAAGAAAATAAACAAGGAATTATAATATGGAAAATGAATGTGCAGAAAGGTAAGTAAATATAAAAACATAGGAATAACACTAATGATCTTTGTTTGTTTACAGAAAATTGATTAGGCTTTGGTCGACAGATGCTGAAGTAGCCCGTATGGAAAAAAAATCTTCCGAAAATTAGTGGCGTACGTAAAAACTCTCACATATATAGTGAGATGTCAACAGAATTAGCTGCAAGTGGATTTATATATGATGGAGAAGAAGTAAAAAACAATATCACAAACAGATGCCGGTTATTAGTGGTTCTTTACACCCCACTATGTATATATATTCTTCATCAGTTTACAATTCTGTGTCGATTTAGGGTCTGTATGTCCGACCGTGGAAACCCCGCTAGCTTCCGAGCTAAAGGAAGTAAGTATCGAAAATGTACCACATATATCCACGTTTTGCTATAGTCCTCACATAACTGTACATCACTATATTCTATTTCCATTTATTATATTCTAAAGTATTGACATGATGTTTTCTCTTCAGCGAAGAAAAGAAGAAAATTGGTCCTTCTGGCCCAAATTCCACAATATACAAACGGTTGTTGAGGAAAGCATCAGTATGTTTAGCATATATGTATGTATATAGTTTTAAATAAATCTGCATTTTGCTACCTGTAGTGGAATAAGGTAACCTTATTCGGACTTACCGACACAAATTGGTAAAATGAAACGCAATATTATGACTGAAAAGTTCAAATAAATGTTAACAATACTGCTGGTATCGTTAGGGCTTAGCGACTACACGGTCGTTAACATGCCGAAAATTATCGCTTTTTAACGAAATTGTGAGCATTTTAATTTTGCCGATTTTTGTCGGTAACTTAAAAATGATTTAGAGTGAGTGAGTGGCTAGCTCATATTCGTAAAAACCACCAAAATTTTGCCTGATGGTATGCAATTTTTTTTTGTAGATATACCTTTTGTGGAATTTGTCGATGATGAATATATTGAGTGTATTGAAATTTTATGTTTCGATATTGAAAGTATGGAAGTTCCTGTCGAAGAATCAAAACCAAAAAAGCGAAGAAAAGTGACAAAGAAAATACTAAAATAATTAAACAAAATATAGAAGCTACTAACAAGGAGTTAGTAGAGTGTGTAAAATATATGAATGATTTAACTGAAAAAGGGCTCAATATACAAAAAGTCATTGCTGAGACCGAAAAAGAGCGAAGCGAAATCCTTAAGGAATTTGTATATATTTTTAAAAATAATAATTTCAAGTAAATTACAAATACTTGATTTTTTGACGCGCATTTTTAAATGTTTTTTTTTTTTTTTTTTGTAGTATAAATAAATTAATCATAAAAATTATAACAAATAATATCACTTAAAACTGTTATGCTTTTTTGAGAATTTTAGTTATAATGTAATGTGTTCTTTAATACAAATGTATATATGAATATAATTCATTATTTTTATTATAAAGTGGACTTTTTGCTGGCGAAGTAGCGGGCATTTCAATATCCCAGCAAAAATACTCGTTACTAATAAGGTTGTAGTATAATTTTAAGTACTCGTATAACGAAATTTAGCGCCAAAGACAGTTAATGAGTACCTCTTTAAACAACGTAAAGTAGCCAAAAAGTAGTGGGTTGATACTCCGATCTGTAATTAGTAGTTAAGTTTGTTAATTTTTTGTTAAGTTTTTTTGTTCAATTTTTTTGGAAAATAAAAAAAAATTTACTTAATTTTCTTATAATTGCATTTTTATTTGCCTCTATTTTCCTCTTCTTTTTAAATAAGTATATTTCTATTAATAGTTTTAACTATGTTTTCGAGTTTTTTAACTGTGTTCTCTTCATTCGGGTTACACATATTTGTTTACCAGGGGGATTGTTGTCGAACTGTTTGGAGCTCTAAAATGCAGAATTTAAAAACAAAACATAAAGTACATACTTATTACCATTTTCAAGAAAAAATCTGCGAGAGCATTCCTCATTCCTCCGGCTTTGCCATAACTGCAATTTTGAGGAACTTGCGGGATTTAATTTCGGTTTATCTCGATTTCTTCTCACCATTTCTGGTTTATTGGGTCATTTACAAATTTGCGCACCTCTTTATAATATTTTTTGCATTTTTTAAATTGTTCCCTCCCATTACCTGTCCTTCGGAATCTTGCCTTTAAGAGGCCGAAGGCGTTTTCCACAACTCTTCGAACTTTCGAAAGGCGATAGTTGTATAATTTTTTCCTTATCTGGAGAAGAAATTGAGAATGGGAATGGCTTCATGAGATATCACGAAAGTTGGAAAGCGAAATCCCCAATTATGAAAACTGGAACATCAACACCATTTATGTTTCTGCAATTCATTTGAAAATCTGGACTTTGAAGCATTGACTTAAGTTTACTGTTTTTTTATATATAGGAATCGTTGTACCGACATTATATAATGAAACGAAACCTAAAATTAAAGGATATGACAATTAATAAAAAAATTGATTAGTTGTTGACCATTACCTATAGTCCATACGCTTTTAAACTGTTTTGCTGCTCGCTACGTTTTTTTTTATTAAATTATAATTTTGAACAAAATTTTCCTTTATTCCAAATTAATATATTGCAGATATTGTCCGTTTTTCTGCATTTAAGCATAACATTGGTTAAAAAGATTTTTGAAAATTTCAATTTTTTCCATTTTAGCGTTTTAACGGATAGAATTTTCAAATAGAAGGTTTTCTTTTCGGTATTGTATGTATACATAAACTGTCATTTATACCCTCTCAACGGTATCTGTAAACAAGCAGGGTTAACATACTAGATCTATAAAACCCACTGGGTTAACCTTTAATACTGTAAACGTACTTTTACGCGTATATTGTAAATAAGAGCGAATATGTGGAAATGTATTCTAAGTATAATATTCTTGAAGAGAATTATTACACCGGAACTGTTGTAAATTATAACAAAGCATATTACCGACGGACAGACACTTGAGCCAACGAAACGAACTACCGTGGTTAAGCACTGTATTTGTTTTTGTTTCCTACTTAATGTTTTTTTTTTTTTTTTTGAAGATATTTATCGAACACTCGCGTTTATGCTCACTAAAAATGACGGTACATACCTTTTAGTGATGAATAAATGTATTTAATGAAAAAAATGGATGATTGATCTTTTGCTGGTGGTTGTTGACAATGTCAAACCCTTTAATAAAAAAAATATCAAGTAATTTATGTTGTTGCTGGAAAGCCCGGATCTCGGGTCGAAGTGACTAAAAATGTTGCGGGGCAATGTAAATTAAATAAATAAAGGGATGAAATTAATATTAAAAAATTGGCGGTTTCATTAATGTTTTAATATTAGCCGAAAAACTAACATGTACCTTGTAGGATAATTGGTGTTGCAGTGATGTTGATTGGACGAAGATTCGAAAAACAAGTAAAGTAACAGCAACGAGAAAGCCAAGATATCTCAAGAGCAGCGCAAATTGACAGATAACACCCGTTAGAATTTGCCATTACTAATGTGAACGAAAGTTCAAAGTTGAATAAAATGGTATGATGGCAAATTATTAGAAATAATGACGGGTTCTACCGCCTGTAGCAAAACTTTGCACGCTTTCGAATAGCCTCTATCTAACGGCACGTTCTTGAATTTTACATAGTATGGGTGGTATATAATGTTTGTAATTCCATTTGTAACATTCTGGATCACCGTAAAATTCTTGCGTCCAAAGGGCATATAATAGGAATCTAAAATGTTGCATAAAGTTACCAATTTTAGCCTCATTAGAATGTAGAATAGCGAGATCCACTGCATATATTTATTATAAATACATATATGCCAGCATTTGAACTTATCATTCCTCTTTGCGCTTTTCATTAAGCATTGGAAACAACACAGGGAAACCCCGTTTATCTGAGTCTTTGCGAATCTTCTTCTCCCTCTGAAAGATTATTATTTTATTAGAATTAAAGTCAATATTTAACTTTTTCATAAATTGGTTATAAACCTGAAAAAGTTCAAATCAACTTTTTTTATTGAAAAATAAAACATAAGTGTGCAACATATTAAAACATATGTGTTTTAATTTTTCTAGATTTAACAACTTCTATACTCATACCACAATCTACATTACAGTACACAGAATTAAAATCAACACACATTTTACTAAGAGTTACGCCCATTGAATAAATAGTGCTGTGAAAATCGCTATTTAATAATTGGTAATATCTACTAGATATAAACGGAAATTAATTCTAATAGATGAGAAAAGGAAATCTAAAGGTACATTAACATTTAATATTTTTTGTATCAATATGGAGCTCAACATAATACGTCTGATTTTTAGTGTAGGCAATCTAATTACTACTATTTCAATCTAAACTTCTTAAGGCAAATAGCAGAAATTGTTTTTGCTCCGATTTTATTTTATCTGGATATATTGGATATTGAGGATCCCATACATAAGAACCGTATTCTAATAGAGGTTCGTATAGTCCCCATATAACTCTACCGCCCGATATTCGCTATTTTCATGATTTTAGCGACATTATTTACTTATTCAAATTAGTGAAGGGTATTAGAAATTCGCTCGGCCTATCCTTGGTTCTTTTTTACTTGTTTAAGTTAATTTTTAATTTTGGATCCAGTGCAAGATCAAGAGCGATCTGGAGAAGCAAATTTGCTTATATTTAAATGCAAAGAGTTTCCTATACCATTAAAAAAGACTATCTACATCGTTTTGAAGTGACATAGGTTGTTTCTTACAATTATAGAAAACGAATAACTTAACATAATCTGCGTACATTAACAATTTCGAATAATTTGAGAAATTAGGTAAATCTTTGATAAATAAAAAGTAAGAGAACCGGTCCAAGAACACCCAATGGAACTTTAATCGAATTAGATACACAACCTTCAAAAAAATTGTGATCTAAATTGTAAGTTGGATGATATATATTTGACTACGTTTGTGCTGAATCCCATATATTTTTTGGAGTTCATGTGTCAGTTTGATTACGCTGAACAAATTCTTTTATTGCTGTTGACGTAAATTGTATAAGATTTGTAGTAGTTCAAAGACTACAACAAAAGAGTTCTGATATGAACTCAATATAGATGAATTTTCAGTAAAATACTGCAGCAATTTTTTTCGAACAATTTTGGAATGGCACTTCATTTTGCAATTCCTCCATAATTTTTACCAGCATACCAAAATCGCTCGAGTAAAATCAGCTGAATAATATGTGTCTTAAACCTGAAAAACTTTGAAAAATGTTTGTGTAACAAACACAGTAAAATCGATACTGAACCCTTATGTCTAAGCTTAAACTTGTAATTGTAGAATAAGGTAACGATAGTAATATTATTCTAGTAATAAGCTTATTTTGTGATAGTATTGTTAAATCACCTAAATGATTTGTAAATATTATTTATAATTTAAATCGTTGCTCAAAGAGTATTTTTGAAGACATAAAAAACAGTAAATTACTTCCAATTATTAATATTTAAAGGCTACGAGAGCCACATTAATAATTGTTTTATCCCTTGCCAATTACGTATTTGATTTTAATTCGCCCTAACAAAAAGAGATAACAAAAAGCACTGTTGTTGCAAATGTGGATAAGCAGTCGAACGAACAAGCAATGGGCAAATTATGCATATACGTACAAACATACTTATATACGTTGAGCGCATCTTCTCTGCTTTTGTTATTTCTCTACCTCTGTCCTGCTATTCTTTTGGTTGCTAAACCAAAATAGAAAAGAAATAAAACAGTCTGATTTGAAACCATTAAAGAGAAAAGAAGTATTTTATTTGGTGACGGGGCAGTGGCATACTAAAAAGTAAAATATTACCCAACATACTAGTTGAGTAAAAAATCATATAAAGTGAAATTTGATACAAAATTTGAAAAAAATCTTGCCCAGTGGAGCCAATAGAAAGAGTTTATTAAAAATACGTCAACAATTTGGACAGCTACATTGCTCATCGTGGAAATCAATGGAATTTTACCAATAAAGTTGATGCTGTGAACCAAACAAGAACATTGTACTGGATCCAGAGGAATAAAGAAGCAAAAGACCTGTAACACCAATTACCAGTATAAAGCCAAGAGTTCCTGGAACAGCAGGTGCAGCTTATAAAGAAATATTGTGCAAGGTACAAGGAGTGTTCTGGTAAGAAGCTATTGACTTCTCTAAGGCATTTGTAGTGTTTTAACTCAAGCCGAACCCTTGAGTAAGGAGTTTGTTTAATTGCATATCGGGGCTGTCAAACTAGGCAATCCCCAAACATTGGCGACCATGACAGGACATT